ACTATATTCGAAAGGACGTCTCAAGCATAGTGATATATTGCTTACTAGAGGTCTCTTAGAGCCCTCCAGCCTGGTGACTATATACTTGCTACTTCTTTGGCCGCTGTTGGTCGCTAGCGACCCTGAGCGTCCGTGGTCGCCGACGCTTGCCAGCGTCCCTAGGCGTCTATATATGTGCTCGCCAGCGCCTCCTGGCGTCTATAGCATAGCCTTCGCAAGGCTTCCACTCCTATTGGTTCCCTCTGCCCTACTAGGCCGCGATATATAGTTGGTTCGTGATACAATACCCCTCCTAACGTCTTTCGTCCCCGAAAGATTGCTCCTGTTGTTTTATATAGCGCTAACGTCCCTTGCTCCCTGAAATCGTAAGTATCTTCCTTCTACCCCGCTATACTTCTGTCGCTATAGCTGATACTGTCAGTAGATCCTGCTGTAACCGTGCCTTTGAACGCTGTATTGCTGCTACCGCTATTGAGTATGACGGCTAGGAAGTCGTTATACCTTGCGAGCGGTGTTGGAATATATATCCTTAGCGACGTTGTATAATATTGCTTAGCTCGAACAAATATTTAGGCTATATTCGAATAGGGAAGAAATATAGTAGTCCGAACGTTATAAGTATATATAGGTTGTATTTATCTTTATATATATTGTTGTACTGACTTGGATAGTAATAGCGAATTTGTTGGCCTACGACAAGGTTGATAAGGAGATTATAGATGCTGAGCGCTAGCTATCCGAAGCGTTGAGTCGTCTTGTATACCTTTGTCATTAGTGTTAAACGCTGGGCGAAACTAGTTCTACGTTGTTAGACCGAGGCCTTAAGGGCCTGGAGGAGGATGAGTCTAGCTCCCTAGAGCTGATGTCAGAAGAACAATAGCTCGTTGGTTAGGCGTAGTCGCTTAGTACCTTTGGTATAGTTGACTGGGAAGCTATAGGCGTATCTTCTAGTGATAACCTGTCTTGGCTGAATAGCCCTCTTCCTATAATTGCTCAAAGGTTTGTTTTCTTTCTCTTTATTTTACAATTGAATAGCTATATAGTATAGTGGTCAATGTATATACTCTCTATATACCTAACCTCTAGACCCGCCTAGAGGTTGGGCTATGACTAGTATAGGGTTATAGGTTCGATTCCTATCGTAGCTATAGTCTAGAAAAATCTATACTTCCGGCTAGGGTTCTTCTAGACTCTCTCTTTTTTTTTTTTTGTTTATACTAACTCCTTGTTTTAGTACTTCTTAGGGTAGCCCTTCTAGCGTGATTGCTTCGCCTTCGGCTCTTCCCTTAGTCGATCTAGGTTCTAGCGGTAGAAGTTTACAACCTTCTTAGGGCAGTAGAGGTTCTTAGCTAGTTCCTATAAGTTTTCTATAGCGTCGAAGTCCAACTACTTGACTAGATACTCTAGTTGTTCCTTATTGATATATAAATCGAGGATTCCTTTAATGTCCTATTCCTCTTCCTTGTCCTAGGCTTCGACCTTAGTCGTAAGCTTAGTGTTCTTAGGTGCTGGTTCGAGGAGTACGATATAGAAGACGTTGGTCCTAACTCTTATTGTTGTTAGTAGTGTAATCCAGTAGTTGTTTTCCGAGATCCGCTCTTCGATCTTGAATAGTCTGATCTTCCTAAAGTCGAGCTTCCTACTTAGTCGGTTTGTTCGAAGATTCTATATATTGAGGTAGACCTTGTCTCCCTTCTCTAGGCGAGGACCTTTAAGCCTATATTTGTCGTAGTAGCTCTTTATCCTACCTCTGACGAATTCGAGTTCGTCCCTAAGCATTATATAGAGCGTATATATCTGATCTACCTTAACTACCGCCCTAGGGACCGAGATATCTGGTCCCTAGCGTAAGTCTACCTTATATCCGAAGTTCGCGAAGAACGGTAAGATCTTTATAGTTTCTATAGGTAATATATTGTATATAAGCTATACTACGGGTAGAAGTATAACCTAGTTATCTTACTGAAAGTTGATATAAAGCTAGAGATATTGTTCTACGATCTAGTTGAGTCGTTCTATCTATCTATCTATCTATAGATAATAAGCTATTAAGAGCTTGCTTTTTGTTCCTAGGCGCTTTATAAGTGCCTGCTAGAACTTCGATACGAACTTAGTATCCCTATCTATAATCTATTCCTCGGGCTATATATAGACCGAAGCAATATATCGATAGATTACGTCTATAAGTTGTTCTACTAACTACGACTCTTTGTATAGGAAGAAATAGCTCTACTTAGTAAGTCGTTCAACTATAGTAAGGATACTGTTATATATCGTTCCCGTTGTTGTATCTTTTAATACTAGTAGCTTAGTAATAAAGTCTATTGTTACTAAGCTCTATAGTTGTACTACAACCGGCAGCGGTTAAAGGAACCTATAAGGCTTATACCTATCTAGTTTACTTCGGCAGCATAAGTTATATACTACAAGCACTTCCTTAACCTTCTTCCTAAGTCCTAGGAAATTATAGTATTGCTTGATCCGAGCAACTATTTTAGCGATTCCTATATATCCTCTGAGTCTTGACTCGTAGATATCCCTGATAAGTACCTTCTAGGCGGTCTTATCGATATAGACTTTGCCATTGGGCGTCAGCTTGCCTAGTATCTAATCCCGTTTTTCCCTGAAGCTTGTATAGTACTCTTCGAAGTACTAGAGGGGATGTCTCAAGGAACTACCCTCTAGGGCTTGAAATAGTAGCGGCGAGGCTTCAGTAGTATTGCCGAAATAATCTGGTCTCCTGCTTAAGGCATCTACTTATATATTTTCTATACCTTTCTTATAGTAGATAACAAAGTTGAACTGCAATAGGAACTCTACCTATCGTATCTATCGTCCGTTAAGTTCCTTTATAGTAGTGAAATATCGTAGGTTCTTATAGTCTATATAGACCTAGACCTCGTATATAGTACCGTTAAGATAGGGCTTCTATTCTTCGAAGGCCTTGATAATCGCTATCAATTCCTTGTTGTAGACCGGGTAGTTGAGCTATAGTCCTGAGATTTTTTGTAAGAAGAATGTAATAGGGTGAAGCTTACCGTTATTGTCTCGTTGCCCGAGTTGTCCTCCAACTATATAGTCAGACGTATCGGTCTTAACCTCAAATAGCTTTCTAGGGTCTAGTAGTATAAGTACTAGGTCGGCGACGATCAACTTACGGATCTATTGGAATACCTGCTTATACTCCTCTCTCTATCGGAACTCGATATCCTTCTTCGTCAAATTGTATAGAGGTCGTACAATATCGCTAAAGTTCTTGATAAACATCCGATAGAAGTTGGTAAATCCGATAAATCCTTGGACCTCTATTATTGTCTTAGGCGTAGGCTATGTTCTAATAGCCTCGACCTTGGTTAGTTCTATCTAAATCTATCCTAGTATGATCTTATAGCCTAGGAAGACTATTTTCGTAATATAGAACTCACTCTTGTCCTTATTGACCGAGAGTTTCTATATATAGAGTATATCTAGTACTTGCCTTATATACTTCCTATATTCTTCGAGCGTTTTAGAGAAGATAAGGATATCGTCTAGGTAATAGACTATAAATCGATCTAAGAATAGACGGATTATATAATTGACAACGGCTTAGAAGGTTATAGGCGTGTTCGTCAGGCCGAAGGGTATCACCTGATACTCAAAGTAGCTATAACGGGTATAAAACGCTGTCTTCCATTCGTCTCCCTTTTTAATACGAATATAGGCGTATACTATCGGAAGATCGAGATAAGTAAAGTATTAGGCTCCTGCTAACTAGTCGCGGAGTTATATAATCAGGGGCAAAGAGTACTAGTTCTTCACCGTCTGATTATTCAGCTATTAGTAGTCTATATATATCCTAAGCTTTCTATCCTTCTTTAGAATAAAGAGGACTAGATAGCCTATAGGTGATATCGATAGTCTGATATACCCTATCTTGAGGTTAGTCTCAAAATATCTCTTCAACTCTCTATCCTAAAGTTCGTTAGTATAGTATACCTTAAAGAACTTCAACTAGGTACCTTCCTTGAGTTTGATCTTATGATCCCAAGGTCTGTGATCTAGCAGCCCTTCTATATATTTTGCTTCGAACGCTAGGTATCCCTAGTATTCCACTAGAATCTTGCCTGTTTCATTGTTCTTCGCTATACCTTTGTAGTACACGAATTTGCCGCTAGCTATAACTTTAGCTACGTCGGCCTACTATACCTACTCCTAGAACTAAGTGTTACTATAGTTGTTGACTAAGATAACAGCAACCTCCTTAGTAGCTCGTTTCGGTATACCCCCTAGAGTCTGCCGTCGGCCTCGATCTAGGCCTATTTTATTCAACCCTTCGTAACTGCCGCTTCTTCCTGAGTACGTAGCAGGTCGTCCGCCGCTATCCGCCTCTTACGGTAGATCCTAGAAGTATATATGTTTCGTTATACTACCTTTTTGTGATCCTTTGTCTATACCTCCTATTACGTTAGTTGGATATAGTCCTAGTTCTGGTCGGGGCTGTAGGTACCTCCCTTCTAACTGATATCTGGGTTATAATCCTCGTGCTAGGGGAATCCTAAGATTATATCCTTCTTAGTCCCTATATCTACGATATCGAAGATGACCTTCATGGTCTTTCCTTCGACTATAATATCGAGTAGCTCGGTTTTATACTATGCCTACTACATTAGAAATAGTCCTATGACTATATAGGGGTCCTATTTCTTCCTCTATAGAACCTGGAGTTGGTTGATCAACTATAGTGAGATAAGGTTTAATTCAGATCCTCTATCTACTAGTGCCGTGACTTGATATAATCTCTATTGTACTAGGATCTAAAGTCTTCTGTCCGTCCTACTGTCTATTACTATAGCTACTTCTACTCCCTAGTTATTATCGTTCCTATAGATCCTTATCTAGAGGATTCTTTGCTCGATAACCGGATATCGCTAGGTTGCTAGTTATTATTGAATTTTTAGAGGTTGTTAGGCCCCTCGGAGGGCCCTAGGCCGTTTCCCAAGTCCTAGTCGGGTATCGAGGCGTCCCTATCTACCTCTTGGCTTGGTTCGGCAGTAGCGCTAGACTCTTGTAGCTGTTGCCTATAGCTTCGGACCTCCTCTTTAGATTAGTCCTCTCTAAAGGCCGAGCTTCTCTGCTCTAGCCGTCGTTCCTTCTGTTAGTAGTATTCAAGGGCCTTGGCTTATAAGTACTAGATATACTCGGTACTACTATAGTCGTTAGGGCTGCTTAGGAATAATCCTCTATAGGTTATTAGCTATATATATCGAGGTCTAGCGAAGATCTTCCCCCTCTCCTCGTACTCGAAGTACTAAAGGAAATCTAACGCTCTTTATCCTTAATCAAAGGTCTACCTAATCGGTTTTAGCCTACTATCTGGCATTGCCTTGCAGATCGGCCAGTAATTGTAGTTATACTTCTCCTTGAAGTAATACTTATATCTGTACGTAACGTATTAGAACTAAGGGACCTATATATAGTCCACTCGTTTAGGATAAAGCCTTCTGGCCTCGCTACTATTGGCCTAGCGAAAGAGACTGTTATAGTCGCTTTTCTATATCTCACTATTATTCTGTCTAATACTAATATACCCTCTAGTTTGCTAGTACTAGTGCTAATCGTTCGGCTATAGTAATATATACTTGTATTCGTATATCGGGTTCTAGATCTCAGTAGGACTATAGTCCTCGATATTCGTATTATAGGGTCCGTCCCAACCGGTATACCCTCTATCGATCGAGTTATTAAGTTAGAAGATTTCCTTATGGAGCTCGTCTACTTGTCGGATAGCCTCCTCGAGCTTCTTCCCTATTTCTTTGCCTATATCGATCATTTAGTAGATCGTTCCTTAGAGCTATTCTCTCTACTCCTTGAGCTCTTAGACCTATTGCTAGAGGTACCCTAGATCGGGATTGTCCTGCTCGTCTATAGTTCTCTATAGCCTATTACTATCTTAGACTAGCTATAGCCCCTAAGTATTAGTAATCTACTTAATATACTAGAGAGCTACTAGTACTATAGGAGGTACCCTTAGCTAGGGTACTTCTCCTTCTTCTATACTATTGTCGTCGCTCTCGGCTATCTATTCGATCCTACGGAGTATATACTTATTGTTTACCTATAGGTTCTAGTCGAGTACTACTTCGGCGAGGCTGAGTTATACGACTAT